TCGGTGCAAATGTGCCACTTTCGTACAAGGAGACCCCTGGAACGAGCACGTAGGCCACACTTTAGCGTGTCCCCGGACAGTAACTGCCTGGTCATTGAAGCGAGTTGTGCCAGCGACCAACAGTGAATTTCTGGTCTCCCGCCACGGGCCCGGGGCACAGCGACAAGCCGGAATGACACCGCTGTGTCCCCAGTTTCTCCACGCTGCCTACTCAGGTCCTAACTTCATTTTATTTTTACAGTAAATCCTGAGGGCGGAAAGAGTCTAAACCCAGGAGGCAGACTTCTTTCCGGCAGTTTCTTCTTTCTTTCTTTCCTTCCTTTTTTTAAATTGGGGGGTGATCGTCACATGACAAAAGGGACCATTTTAAAGTGATAATTCAGTGGCATTTGGCGCATTCACAATGTAATGCGACCAACGCGTCTATCTAGTTCAAGAACATTTTCATCACCCCAAAAGGAAATCCTGTCTCCCATTAAGCAGTCCCCCCGCCACGCCAGCCCCTACTGACCCCCAATCTGCTTTCTTTTCTGTGGGTTGCACGTTTCCCGAGCTTCGTCTGTGTCGTAGCACTTGTCAGTCACCCGCACTCTTTTTTATGGCGAAATACTGTTCCGTCCTGGGGCTGGGCCATGTTTTATTTAATCCGTTCGTCTTGGTGGACGCGGGAGCCATTCCCGCTTTTTGGCCGTCGTGACTGGTGCGGCTGTGTGCGCTCGCGCATCTGTGGGGGTCCCTCTATTTAATACTTCTGGTGCCTTTCTAAGAGTGGGGTTGTGGGGTCACATGGTAACTCGTTGTTTGACCTTTTGAGGAACCGCCAAACCAGCGTTTTCTCACGGTGCTTGATAAAGGTTGGTTTCCTTCTTCCTCCACTGGCTGTCTCGCCCCCCTGAGCCGCCCCTGAGATCGGCATCGCCTACAAAGTCCTGGAGGGCTTCCCAAGAGGCCACCTCGTTCTCCTAACTTGCCACCGGCCTGAGGTGCCCCCGCCCATCGCCTGCTCCCTCTGGGGGAGCAGGGACATCGAGGTTGCCGAGAAGGTGGTGAAGACCCAAGACCTAGCCTTCTTCAGCATCCACGCCACGCTCAAGTCCAGGCCAGACCTGCTCAGCCACTCCTGCCCGGCGGCCACCACTGGGGCACGCACACGGCCAGCGCCAAGCCGTAGAGGCACTGGGAGCTGTGGACCAGTGAGTGCATGGGGTGTGGTGGGGGGGACCGTGTGGGGTGCAGGGTCTAGAAAGTAAACAAAGCTCCTTGGAGCAGGAATTATGGGGGCTGGGCTAGAGGGGAGAAGGCAGGAGGGTTGGGATAGGACAAGTGACCTGCCTCCAGGGTCCACTCTTGGTCCCTGAGGGCCTGGTTACAGGCTGCTGCAGCCCTAGCTGGCCCCCTGGGGCTGAAGGGACAGGTGAAAAAGAGCCTGAGGCTCTTTTCTTTTAACCTTTCTGACCTCCAGCTGACAAAATAGTTTGATCTCCTTTAATCTTCACAGCAGCTGAGGATGGGGGCGTGGGTCCAGCCTACAGAGGAGGAAGCTAAAGTTTTAGGAACCTAAAAACAGGCCCCAGGCCACCCAGCTTGCAAATGACAAAGAGGGGTTTCAAGCTCCACTCCGTCGATTTCCAAAAACCTGTGTCCTTCTCATTTCTGTCCTGCTCTTAACTCAGGTGTCCCTCCCGGTAGGAGGCATGGGGGTGCGGGCAGGAGGGAGGGAGGGAGGGCACTGGTGGGATTGGGACCCCCTGGACCCGCACCTGGGAAGAGACAGCCTGGAAGAGCAGAGCCCAGAGTCTAGAGCATTACGGGTCAGGGTTCAAATGTTGACACTTATAGGCTGTGGGTTCTTGGGCAAGTCACTCAACCTCTCTGCCCCTGGGTTGCTTCATCTACAAAACAGAGATAATGGTATGACCCCAGGAGGGCGGGACAGCTTCAGCGTGAACTCTTAGGGGGTAGAGTCTTGGACCAGGGGTGGTGGCTGTAACTCAGCGGTAAGGCTGCCTAGAGCATTAGCCTGAAGGCCCTGAGGGGTTCTAAATCTAGAATCTTCGAAGGGATCGTTCTCGTCCTGAAGGAGCATGTATTCCAGGAAGAGAGTCCAGACTGAAAGAATGTAAACAGGATTGCCAGATAAATTGTGCATAGGAAATACTCATGCTGAAATATTATTCATTGTTTACATAAAATTCAAATTTACCTGGGCATCCGATATTTTTATTCGCTAAGTCTGGCAACCCCCCATGTAGTACATGTGAGAAAAATCCAACGAGAAGTTGCGTGGTACACACTGCAAGTAGGGTAGAAGCCCAGACATGGGGCAGAGGGAGTAGGCAATCCGGAAGGCTGCCTGGAAGAGACGGCAATCACGGCTGGGTCTCCGGGTTTATTGGTCTGTAACAAGGGGACTTGCCGGGGAGAGGGTGTTAGCTCCCGGCCATGCCTGTGCTACCCCGTCCCACCCTGCCAGAGCCCATGTCACCGCTTGCAAGCTGACTTCACCCTGCTGGACAGAGGGTCAGGCCCCACAGTTGAGATGTCCTCCCAGGCACCTGTGGGCAGCCCCTCCCATCACCTACAGCCTGGTCAGGAAGGACGGGCATGTCCACGTGCAGCAGAGACCACGCCACGGGCAGCCTGCCAGCTTCTCCTTCCCCCTGACCCAGACGTTGGACTGGTTCCAGTGCCGGGCTGACAATGGCGTCAGTGTCCAGAGCAGCCCCTTCACGCTCGTGCCCCAGGTGAGAGGGCCCTTGGTTTCCGGAGGGGCAGCCGGCACTCCAGGGCAGGTGGGCGGGAGGTAGAAGAGCCCCATCTGGCCACTGCCAGGAACAGGGAAGGGCATCCCGAAGCGGCCATGCCCACCCCGGCCTTACCTCAGGGAAGTGAAGGCCAGACATGCCCTCATCCCTCAGCCTCCATGCTGGCCCACAGCCTTTACCGCCATCACAGCTGTCACCTTTGGGCCACCGGGCCAGACGGCACAGACCAGGTGGGAAACCGGTGCTGGAGGCGGGGGAGGAGCAAGGACTGTGGGTGGCCAGTGTGGACCGACGGAGGCCCTGGCTGCAAGCAGTGGGCCGTGGGTTTGTAGGGCAGGGCTGCCAGCAGGGCAGTTACACGCGACTTGCAGAAGTTGAAGGGCCTACTGTGTGCCAAGTGCCTGCTAAGGGCTTACTGAGTCATGGCTTTATGTGACCCTGTCCGCTGCTGCAGCCGTCCAGCCCGCAACAGTCAGCTGGCCTCTGGGTGGGGCATGCTCCTGTGTTCCTTATGGGACTAAGGAGGGATACCGGGGTGGGGGACGATGCCTCTGGGGACCAGCGCGAATCAGGGGCTTCTGCCCTCCATAGGAACCACATAGGCTCGTGTTTCCCAGCTGGCAGCAGGAAGCAGGGGCCAGATCTCCCGGGGTCTCCTCCCCGAGGCCACCACTTCACTGACTTGTAAAGTGACCAGAGCCTTTGTGTTGTCCGACCGCAGGCAGCGCAGGCCTCTGTGCTCCACCTGCCCGGCCCGCGGAGGTGGTGCAGTCACCTGGGCCCCACAGACTTCCCTCCCTCGGTTCCTAAGACTCTGCCATCTCCTGGTGCAGCCTCTTCAGTGGGCATCGGTGGGGAATGTGCCCTTGGCACTCTCCACATCTCACCTCGGGGGCCCTTCCCCTAAAGTCTCTGTCCTTCCTGAGGGCCAGACTCATGGACGAGCCATGTCACCTCTCTGAGCCTGTTTTCCCTTCTATAAAATGGGGTACATGACCTGGTTCCCACTTGCAATGTGACCAGGGGCCAGCGCTTGCCTACTCGGTGATTCAGTGCCCCTCTTCATTTAGTGGGGTGACTAAGCCCCAGGCCCCTCCTCTGGCCCGGGGCATGGATGACCTTGGCACCATAAAAGTCCTGGAAGCCTTGGGAGGCGTGCTTGCCTAACCTGGAGTCTCACCTCCTTCATCATGAAGGTTGTGACAAGATACAAGCTCAGCAGAGACCCCATTGCCTGCCACAGAAGGACCCACCACTGGAAAGAGGAACGAAGCCGCCAGCCTGAGCCCCCAGGGTTCTGCGATTTCGTGATGCATGGGGCAGGGGGGTGGGGGTGTCTAGAGGTCGGAGGGGCCTCTGTGCAGGCCCTGTCCTCGCCCCTCAGTGGCTTGTCACCATCCATGTGGGTCTGGGAAGAAGGTGAAGGGTAGACTGTGAAGAGACCGGCTGCACCCCTACCCAGGAACCCCCCATCTGCTCCCCGCTTCCCCGGAGTGGTACCCCATCCCCTGGTGTCCCCGTTTTCTGGCGCCACCCGTCGGCCCCCGATGATCCGGCTCACCGGAAGGACTCCACCCCAGCTGGCCAGCACCCCCTCATTAACCTTACTTCCCCAGAAAAGGGTGTCTGGAATTCCCCCCTCAGCTGATGGTCCCGGAGAAGGCGCCCCCACGTCTCCACAGAGCCTTCCCTGTTCAGACGCTCGGAACCTGCTGGAGGAAAGAACTGGATTAAACTGTGCCCCCAGCCTGTCACCCCGGAACTTCGTCTCAGTCTGCGCACCACTTTGGAGCCTGGAAGTCTGAAGTCACACAGCCGCTCACGGCCTTGGGACCCGACCCAGCTCGGGAAGAATTCGGGATGGGGCGGTGGTCTCAACCCCACCCCAGGCTTAGCTCGGGGGAGGAGGAAAGAGCGACGGGCCAGGCAGGGAGGGTGTCCAGGCTGCGGCCTGGGGTTTGGAGTGGAATGGGGAGGCGGAGTGGGCTGCATCTGAGGGTGGGTCCCGAACGGGGCGTCTTGGAAGGGCTTCCTGGAGGAGGAGGCGGGAGTGCGAGGGAAAAGGGCGCGTGGGGCTGCCGCGTCTCTCTCTCCCCGAGGACCCTCTGGCCCCTTCGGGGTTGCGCCGCGCCAGCACAGCGACAGACGAGACTCCCGC